ACTGTCTCGCTTTGGCCCTTCTGCTTAAACCGGCCGCCGTTTCCCGTCTGTATCTTTCAGGCATATTTCTTCCAGGCAATTTTACTTGTAACCTGATTTTTACACTTGAGAAGAATCCAAGGAGGGTTTGCCTAACTGGTATCCTTGGCACGTGCTTCTGAAACGTCCTCTTCGCCTGTAGATGACAAAGTTTTAATATAGACGTATCAATAAAATTTTATTTTTGCAGTCACTGCTTGTAAAAGAGCACAGGCCTCTTTTTTTTTTTTTTTTTTTCCCTCCAGCCCCATTGGGAACTTCTGGATGCTCTACATTTATATTGTTGTTTTCCTGCCGGAGGATCTCAAAGCATTTCACAGATTGCATTAAATACTAATGTGTAGCCAGTTCCTGGATGGGATGTGGCAGCACAGAAACTTTTGGTCATTTAAGCTTAACTGGAACTCACATAACCCTTTTTTAAATTGGGTATGCTTTTCGGAGGAAAAAAAAAAAAAAGTAATGTCCTAGTATCGTGATGATGCATTTTAGTAGTCATACATCTTGGACTTAAATCTCTCTGGCATGCATCCTCTTCAGAAATGCAGAGTCCTCTGCCGACTTCATCAGCCCAGGTAGTAGCGAATTTTTAGGAGCCCTCAGCATGTGTCTTAACTGCTCCTGATGAACTCCGCAACAGAGCACTCATTTCTATTAGTGAGAGCACACTAGAGGACAGAGCTTTTGGTTTGCTTAAAAGAAGGCATCAGGAAATATAAATTAACGTTATCTTGCCATTTTAATAATCTGACACAAATTGAAAATCCTGAGCGTGCTTAAGACAGAGTGGCATTGCATAAGTGGCAGAAAGTAGAGTCGGCTTCCTTACAGGAGGATAATACAGCAGACATGAAGAACTTTTTGAAAATGCTAAGAAAGTATTTGGAGCAATATAAGGCTGAAAATGTAGCTTTATAACATAGATCAGTGCTTGAAGCTAATAAAAGTGAGTAGGTTATTTTATAACAGAAATAATATTTTTAGTCATAAAATGTCATTCTTAAATGATCTTTAAATTCAAAATGAAATAGCTTCACAGGCTGACCTAGCCACTAAGTATCTAATTAGTTTTTGAATGACTATTCTTTTTTAATGTTTATGTTCATGATTACAGGCATGCTGTTTGGATGCACTGATTCTGCAAAAATAGCCATCAGCTGGCGAACAAAGGGCAGATAATACTTGCTACGTGTGGAAAATTTTCTTCACTCTTCTCAGAAACAGCTCCGAGTCATAGCAGCTTCATCTTCACAGTTCTGAAAACGGCCGAAACTGTGTCTTCCTGCTGGCCTGTGGTTTTACACCTTCAGTCTCATTTTTTTCTGTACAACATAATCAGTGTGTTACTGGACACGCTGGAGCAGGCTGGTGCCCACAGCACATGGCACCACTTGGGAGGAGGAGAGTTTCGTGTCTTTGTTTTGCTCTTCTCCGAACCCACAGGAAGATTCAGCTCTGAAGGCCCTTAACTTGAGTCACAGGCATTGTCTGCAGTCTGCAATTTGACTACATAGTCTGTTCTTTGAAACAAAAGCTACCCTGCAAATTCTATTGTTTAAGAGCTTAATCACTTAGTTGGAAAAGTCCATGTGTAAGGTTGGGCAAATTACAAAAGGAAGTAAAACGTGGGTTTCAATTGTTAAGACATTTCTAGAGCCAAGCAACTTGTTACCATTATCTCGTCTGGAGTGTTTGTTTGGGGTTTTTTTCTGTAGAAAAATATATTCATCTTCTGAATATTTCAGCTAGGATTTTAACTGCTGTGCTGGAAAGAAAGACAGAAAAGGAGCGAGAACCATATCTCAATTCAGAGAGGGGCATTTATCTCTCAGAACAGGGCCAGTGCAAAGGCTAAAGCTCAGAAGAGCAAGTTACCCTCCAGTTATGCAAACACAAAGCAGAGGCTTTGGTGCTCTCTGTTCCATAGATAAGCACAGTTTCTCAGTTGTCAGATATTTTTGACAGGTTTTTGCAAGTGTGTAGAATAAGAATAAATCACATTTAAATGAGAAGGGACACAGCTGTATTTGTTTTGTCCAGATGTAAGTAACAGAGTATGTAAGGTACCAAAGAAAGAGAAGACAAGGTTTTAAAACCCTCCTGTCAAGCTGTAATGTGGAATTCAGTCAGGAACAGGGCAGAGACATAGTGCTAACACTTTTTTACCATATAAGCATTTTTTATTTTCCTTCCTATGTTCAGTCTTTTATAAGCCCAGCACAGAAAACCTCATGAAAATAAAAAAAAATGGCAAGGCCATCTTTCCTTCAAGCCTTGAAAGATGTGCAGTAATAAGATCACCTACTAGAAACAGGTGATGTTTGAAGTCATGTATCCAAACTTGCTGTAGGGAAGGCATTTCAGGTTAAAAAAAGAAAGAGGGACTTGATCTTGGAAGATGTGCTCTGCAGTCATCTGCTCTGATGTTAATTTTCTGTTGAGTTATTATCATTGGTGTCCTCATTCTACTTAGGCCTAGATGAGTGATGCAGCTTGTGAAAAGGATGGAAGAAAAGGAATGCAAAACACCCATGTCTCGCATGAGCTGGCGGTTCTGACCTGCTGTGTCTTTCTCCAGTGGTGTTGGGCATTTGAAGATGTCTGCACTATATGACACAAATATTTAAAGGATCAGGAGACTGTCTCCAAAACTGTTCTTTTTTTTTTTTTTGGTGGTTCAAATCTGCGTTGTAATGTTTTGTTCACTAGGTTCAAACATTTGCCTGTTTTCATTTTGCTGATGGTAGAAAAGTTGAGGTCAAGAAACAAAGTCAGTCTGTTCTCTCTGATGCGTGGTAGTTTGTATCTTTTGCAATGGATTTTTGGGTCCACTTGGGTGTTTAATTAAAAAAAAAAAGTTGGCCTTTTTGTAAACTTTTCATCAACTGATTGCATCACTTTCCCATGTAGGTGATTGTCCATCCCAAGTACCAAGAATCCCAAAGAATTGCAATCTTCCTGAGCATGCCAGATGAAATCCAGACAGAAGAAATCATTAAGGACATTTTTAAGCAAGGCAAAGAGTGTTTCATCCCACGTTACAAGCCTCAGAGCAATCACATGGACATGCTGAAGTTATCCTCAGCTGAAGACATTTCTTCACTTGCTTTGACATCCTGGAATATCCTTCAGCCTAGTGATGATGACAGTACAAGAGAGGAAGCTCTTGCTGGTGGTGAGTGTTTTCTTCCTACACCGTGGGGTTGTTGAGCAGGAGTAGCCTGCTCCAAGATTTCCTTTCCTTTTTCTTTTTCTAAGGCCACAGCCTTAAAATACTGAAATACTTGATCCTGCAAATTGCATTGTGTGGATGAATCATGGTGGTGTTATGAAGCCTGCCCATGCAGAACAACTCTCCCAACTAAGACCTTAGACTGAAAATAGAAGGACTTTTCTTGTAGGTCTGGATGTATATTACAAAACCTTTTCCATTATTTTCTCTCACATTTTTATTCTGAACTTACAATACTGCCTCAGACACTGGATTCTTCACCATATTTCTTAACCTAAACCATCCCAACTTCTACAAACTTGAAACAAACTTACTTTTTCTGTGTGTGCATTCATTATTTGCATTCTTTTTGTAAACATGTTAATATTTTCCTGAAACACCTGCAGAAATGTTTAATGCTATTAATTGCAAACTCAGTTGAACACAAGATTGAAACCTCAGTCCAGAAAAATTTGCTCTAGGTGGAAATTCACCATGCAGCCAGCTTCTGCACCTCACAGGCTTACAGCATTTTAATGCCTGCTAAAGGAACATAACATTATTTGTCTCTGGTTGGCTGAAATTAGGTTTGTATTTGCTTTGGGATGCCAATGTACTTTTTCCCAAAACACGCCATTGTGCTTGTTTCTCTTTTATTCTCAATCTCTATCTCTTTCCTTATTCGGAATCCTTTCACTGTCCACATTTTAGCTAGAAAGGGATTTCACTGCTTCATTCAACCGTCTTCTTTACATTTATATGCAGCATTGTTACTTGTTCTCCTAACTTCATCAAAAATTTGCATATACTAGTGGGTTTTAGAGGCTTTTGGAGAAAACCCTTAAAATGACCAAGGTTCTGTTGGCTGAACTTAGTTCAGGCACGCAGGACAAGCTTTTGTACTACTGATGAGCTGCTGTTAATCGAAGCTGCTGAGGTCTGTTGCAGTGATCACAGAGTAAACACGCAACAATTTTACGTGTGATGGGAGCAAGGACTACCTGGTGTAGAGTGCAGCAAGGTGTACTTGATGGAGACAACTCAGGTGCCAGGTGGTGAAGATGGGAGAAGGCAGGAGCAAGCTTTGGTACCTAGCTAGTTCTGGAGCTGCTGTTTCATTCTCAGCATGAGGGTTCAGCTGGGGGCAGAGGGCAATGCCAAAAGAGCCACTGCAGCCTACAGAGAGATGCCAGGAGAGCAGCTGTAACAACTGCTGTATGTCCAGACTTGTTCCGCCTTAAACTTGATTTTAGTTTGCTTGTACTCAGTAATTTAGGAATAATTCTGTTTGGATTGGAAGTCAGATCTCAGTCCTTTATCCTTGGACAGTTAGATTTTTTTTCACTATTTCATAATTGGACTCCCCTCACTTCTCAGCTGGTCCCTGCAGAAACATACACTACCTTTAAATTTCTTTTGCTCTATTTTTTGTGTCAATTATTATATTTTTTGAACTTTGGTGCATT